AACTGTCGCCACTTTCGATGGCTGCTGGGGGGCCCAGCACAGTGACGTCTTACGGGGGCTCAGATTAGACCTCGCCATCCCTGGGGGGCTGCGATCTGTGAAACTGTCGCCGCTTTCGAGGCCTGCCCAGCACAGTGGGTGCCCACGGCGGACTCAAATGTGACCTCGCCATCCCTGAGGGGCTGCGATCTGCGAAACTGTCGCCACTTTCGAGGCCTGCTGGGGGGCCCAGCACAGTCTGCACCTGCGGCGGACTCAAATGGGACCTCGCCATCGCTGGGGGGCTGCGATCTGCGAAACGGTCGCCACTTTCGAGGCCTGCTGGGGGGCCCAGCACAGTCTGCACCCGCGGCGGATTCAAATGAGACCTCGCCATCCCTGGGGGCTGTGATCTGTGAAACTGTCGCCACTTTCGAGGCCTGCTGGGGGGCCCAGCACAGTCTGCACCCGCGGCGGATTCAAATGTGACCTCGCCATCCCTGGGGGGCTGCGATCCGTGAAACTGTCGCCACTTTCGAGGCCTGCTGGGGGGCCCAGCACAGCGTGCACCCGCGGCGGACTCAAATGGGACCTCGCCATCCCTGGGGGGCTGCGATCTGTGAAATTGTCGCCACTTTCGAGGCCTGCTGGGGGGCCCAGCACAGTCTGCACCCGCGGCGGATTCAAATGGGACCTCGCCATCCCTGGGGGGCTGCGATCTGTGAAACTGTCGCCACTTTCGAGGGCTGCTGGGGGGGCCCAGCACAGTGGGTACCCACGGCGGATTCAAATGGGACCTCGCCATCCCAGCACAGTCTGCACCCGCGGCGGACTCAAATGGGACCTCGCCATCCCTGGGGGGCTGCGATCTGTGAAACTGTCGCCACTTTCGAGGCCTGCTGGGGGGCCCAGCACAGTCTGCACCCGCGGCGGACTCAAATGGGACCTCGCCATCCCTGGGGGGCTGCGATCTGTGAAACTGTCGCCACTTTCGAGGCCTGCTGGGGGGCCCAGCACAGTGACACACGGCGGACTTAAATTGGACCTCGCCATCCATGGGGGGCTGCGATCTGTGAAACTGTCACCACTTTCGAGGCCTGCTGGGGGGCCCAGCACAGTGGGTACCACGGGCGGACTCAAATGTGACCTCGCCATCCCTGAGGGGCTGCGATCTGTGAAACTGTCGCCACTTTCGAGGCCTGCTGGGGGGCCCAGCACAGTGGGTACCCACGGCGGACTCAAATGGGACCTCGCCGTCCCTGGGGGGCTGCGATCTGTGAAACTGTCGCCACTTTCGAGGCCTGCTGGGGGGCCCAGCACAGTGGGTACCCACGGCGGATTCAAGTTAGACCTCGCCATCCCTGGGGGGCTGCGATCTGTGAAACTGTCGCCACTTTCGAGGCCTGCTGGGGGGCCCAGCACAGTGATGCCACACGCAGATTCAAATTAGACCTCGCCATCCCTGGGGGGTTGCGATCTGTGAAACTGTCGCCACTTTCGAGGCCTGCTGGCGGGGCCCCGCACAGTGACGCCTCCCAAGTAGCTTACACATCAAGTTGATTGTCCATACAAGTTTCGGCCAACTCCTCGTTTCCATTGATACAAATGGGTTGGGTACGTCACATGGTAATTTTTGGTTGGTTTTCATTTCAGAAGAGTTTTTGTGGTTGACCCCACCAGGTTTTCTGATTGACGTACCCCCGCGGGCTCGCACTCTGTGTCTTCACAGGGAAAGTCTTCAGGCTCAAACCGTGGGAGGTGGGCGGGGAGCGGGGAAGGAGGGCGTGTGCTTTGCATGCATCCCGCATGGGGTCCGAGAAGATAGGGTCGGAGATCGCGCCGCATGGCCGATGTATCGGCGATACGGATTCGTTTGAGGCCAGACTTCTCAGCGCCGACGTCGCCGATGCATCGGCGATGCATCGGCGTTGCGGCGCGATCCCCCGACCCGGTCTACTCGGACCGCATTCGGGAGGCCTCCAGATCTGGGCGTGACTGGTTCGATCCGCCCAACACTGCTTCCAGCTCTCTCACGGTCTGGCCCCCTACGTTGCACCAGGCACGAAAGGCCCTCGTTGCCGCCAGTGCTGGTCGCCGCCGCCCTCCTCCCGACGAGCCATCGCCTCGCCGCGCCAGCCTTGGTTGCGGCCATCTACGGTTGCTGTCACTGCTCCTTGCTGGCCTCTGCCTGGTTCTGCCATGGCCAGACCTCCGACGCTGCGATTTTCCAGTACTGGCCATTCCTCCTCCTCCTCCCTCGCTCCTCTTCCTCCCTCTCCTCTTCCTCCTTCCGCTTCTCTGCACCGCACGCGGTGGGAAAAGAGCCACACGTTGTTGCAAGAGCGTTCTCATAGAGTAGTGGGGGCATCGCTCACTCACCCAGTCCGTGGGACATGTTTATGCTCCTGCTGTCCACAAGGGGGCAGGATGTGTCCGGTGGAGGAGGTGCGAAGAGACTTCGGAGTGAGGCTTCGCGTGTGTCCTTTCCTTCCCTTTCCCCTCCTCTCCAAAATTGTGCTGACAAAAAAAGAAGAAGGTCCAGCTTCTGGAGGCCAGTTTCGGGGCCTCGCGACAGTCAAATTCGATTCTGGAAGGAAACCCGGCCCCAGGGGGTTCAGAGCTCCATGTATCCCGTATTGATAATTCACGACATCGGAGATCTTGAAGCAGTACCTTTGGGCCAGGCGCATGTGTCTTCTAGGCCCCTGTAGTAGCACTCGGCCCTGGCGAGGCCCAGCGTAATAGTTTCCAGCCGAGGCCTTGTGCATGTTCCCCATATTCTAAGGTTGAGCTCGTGTTATTACATATACGCCTCCCGACTTCCTCCTCCTCCTCCTTCTCCTTCTCCTTCTTCTTCTCGTTCTTGTTCTCGTTCTCGTTCTCCTCATTCTTCTCCTCTTCCTCTTCTTCACTCCTCATAACACTCATACACTCATATTCAGATCACTCAAACCAATCACGGGGTTTATTACAGATCCACTCTTTTTGACGGGGTCCATCACAGACTCACTCTTCCTCACTCGGATTCAGCCACGTCACTTCCTCACTCAGACTCGCTCAGCATCAGGCGCATTTTCACTCATACGCATTCAGACTATAACTTCGACGCACTTTTCCTCACTCAGACTCACTCAGACTTTCCTGGTGGTCGGCTGCTCACCGCGATATAGCATGCGTGTCACTTGGGTGCCCCAAGGGGGGGCCGCCAGGGGTGGGGACACTCTAGGATTCACGCCCAGAATGTGGGGATGTCTCAGGCGGTTTGCCTGTTTCTGCCCGCCAGACTTTTCTTTTTGGTGTTTCGGTGCGCACCGCGATATAGCATGCGTGTCGTTTGGGCACACCAAGGGGGAGCTGCTAGGGGTGGGTGTGGACACTCCACGATTCGCGCCCAGACTTTGGGGTTGTCTCCAGTGGTTTGCCAGTTTCGGCCTGCCAGTCTTCATACTTCTTCTTCACTCAGACTCATTCATTACATTCAGACTCATTCATTTTTATATCGAATCGGACTCAGACTCACTCATACTTACTCGCTCATACTTAGACTCGCTCAAAGTCGGACTCACTCACATCCAGACCAACTCGAACTCATATTCACTCACTCTCAGACTCACCCACCCTCGGTCTCACTCATATTCAGACTACCTCGCACTCAGGTTCACTCATTCTCGGAATTGTATTCATCAAAGTTGAATTCAGACTCACCCACACTCAGACTCATTCACACTCAGACCCACTCGTACTTAGACTCGCTCGCACTGAGACTCACTCATACTCAGACCCGCTTGTACTGAGACTGACTATGACCAGACGGATTCGCACTCAGGTTCGGTTATACCCGGATCCAGTCACACTTCCATTTCATTCACACGCATATCGCGCGTCGCAACCCACGACTACGACAGATGGACGCGGCTCTCAATTCACAGGACTCGGAGTACCCACGACCCACGCACAACCCAGCGACGCCAGGGATTACAACGTAAGGAAAGAGATGCCGAAATCATACAAGTCCTATGCACAGTCATTACGCACGACGGCGACGACGACCACAAAAAGTGGATACACATTGCGACGGACAAGCAAATATGGTCGGCACTGGAGCCGAACTTTTTAGCATATGTCAATGTTGGATTGTGCGCGAAATTCCACCACGGCCTGAGTCCCCGCCTCCTCTCTCCTTCCCCCTCGCTTTGCAATTTCTTCTCGGCGCTCCAGCGCCATCGCTGGGCTCTCGTAGGGCCGTCCCCCGGAACGACTGGCCGGCGCCTCGCCTCGCCTTGCCTCGCCTCGCCTTATACGAAAGTGGCAACCGCGATATAGCCAGCGTGGCATTCGGACATTCAAAGTGCCAGCAGGCGCCGCGAGCAGCACGCCAGAGGGCCGGCGTAGAAACGCCATGCGCTCTTGCCTGAGCTGCCGCGGGGAGGCCGGCAAGATGAAGTCCCCCTGGCTCTTCCATTAGTGTGCTTCCTCGTCCTTCCTAAAAGATGTCTAGAGGAGCACGGGAAGGAGGAGGAGGACGTTATTGCAGTCGTCGTCGCCGTCGTCGTCGTCGTCGTCGTCGTCGTTTCCGCGCCTGTCGTCTACGCGGAGTCGCCCCCTCACCCAGATGCTCATAGACAGAGTTCTCCAGCGAGACGTGACAGGAGTGCGATATTCACCTGTTGGGATCTCCGCGTCGTTTTGTTTTTGTTGTTGTTGTTGTTGTTGTTGTTGTTGTTGTTGTTGTTGTTGTTGTTGTTGCTGTTGCTGTTGCTGTTGCTGTTGCTGTTGTTGTTGTTGTTGTTGTTGTTGTTGTTGTTGCTGCTGCTGCTGCTGCTGCTGCTGCTGCTGTTGTTGTTGTTGTTGTTGTTGTTGTTGTTGTTGTTGTTGTTGTTGTTGTTGTTTTTTTGTATTAGCTTTTTTTTACGTATCTGTGTTCTTTCTGGGGGGACTGCGTCTTCAGCGAGCGCGCGCCGAGCGAATCTCAACCTGAAGTCAGAGCGGTGCGGGCAGCCCGGGCCGCCAGCCGCGCTGAGGAGGATGGCGGGCCACTTCCAGAAGCTCGGGCTGGGCGTTGGCGCCAACCACGACGACGTGAGGAGGGCGTACAAGAGGCGCGCCTCCCAGCCCGCCTCCATGCGCGTCGGGGCTGGAGGGTGAGGGATGATAGTTGTGCTGGTGGATTGATTTGGGTCTGCGGCGCCGGGCTGAAACTTGAGAAAAACAATACATCGAAAACCGGACCGTCGGCTTGACAAATCAAACATATGTAGCATGAGTTTTGGAATTCGCAATCCGGGAGTTGAAAATTGACCAATGAGGCATCTACAATATTTTGGGCGCGGATTGGTGCATTGAAGAATTGAAGAAGAGTTTTTCCCGACCATCCTGTGGTGTCGGGTCTTCGTTTTGAATGAACTAGCAGCGCCCCGCGTCCTGCTGGTCCTGTTGTTCCTCCTCCCTCCTGCCTCTGTCCTGGCACACCACTGCCACGCGTTTCAAACCCCATAGGAGCCCCACACCAGCGACATGCCATGCGTTCCAAGCCCCGTATGAGCTCCACAGGAGGCCAACAAAAGTCCACATGCAATAGTGGGCACAATTCGCTCGCCCTTGCCACGCTCTTGAAGCCCCATAGGAGGTCCACGGAAAGCCGAAATTAAGCAACCCGCATGCTGTCGTGGGTTGATTTCGTTCTTCTTTCGTTCGCCCCTGCCACGCTAATTACTCAAGCCCCATAGGAGCTCCACAGAGGGCCGACATGAAAAAGTCCGCATGCAGTCGTGGGCTCAATTTCGCTCGCCCCTGCCATGGTTTTCAAGCCCAGTAGGAGCTCCAAATAATGCCGAAATTCAAAAGTCCGCATGCGTGTCGCTCGCTCCTGCGTTGCTTTTCGAGCCTCAGAGGAGCTCCATAGAAGGCCGACATGAGCACATCAGCAGGCAGTCTTGGTCTGAGTTCATCATTTCGCTTGCCCTGATCACGCCACTCAGCGTCCTCACCGCAGCTCGTTTCAACAGATCGTATGCTGCCAGGCGTCACTTCTGCAATGCTCCTCGTGCCCTGCGATACTTTCGGAGAAACATGGCAGGGGGGTCGGCTTGGTCACGGTGTTCTGAGTTGGATGGGGTCAGTGTCTGCGTTGCCGCATAGGCTCCAGCTCCTTGCACACTTGCTGGTCGCATGCACGCTGTCATCTGCCGAGCTTATGCAATCCTTTATTCAGACAGTCTAGCATGTATGCCCGACGCGGGGCGATGACAACATCATCCCTGTGTTGGGTACGGGAGAGCCGTCCTGCGTGAAGACACCATCCTACAGACGACGTCGTTTTCTCTTGCTTCTCGCTCGTCATGGCCTGCTCGTTCCAGTCTAAATTCTTGTTTGTGCCTTGTGCTCGATGCACGGCGTCACTAGGGGCGTTAGGGTAGCACGGAGGCAGAGCATCTGCGTTTGGCGGTGTGGAAGCGGCGAGGCTGGCGCTCAAGTACCACCCTGATAAGTGCTCCGCCGATAGTGAACAGCATTCGGCCGCGGCTTTCCTTGAAATGCGAGAAGCTTGAGGGCTCCCTCCGCCGTACCCCCTCGGAGGCCAGAAGTGGGCGGCAGGTTTCGACCTTACAGTCCTTGATAAGATCATCTTGATGTGAAGGGTCCTCTCTCCTCACCTCCCTCCTCCTCCCTCTTCTTTTTCTTCCTCCTCCTCCTCCTCCTTCTCCTCCTCGTCCTCCTCCTCCTCCTTCTCCTCTACCATTCTCAGGATCTGTCAGGCCTGGCCTTGACGCTCCGCCTGGCGCTTGCGGACGGGCTCGCAGGTGCGGCCGCGTGGGCGGAGGAGGAAAAGGAGGAGGAGGAGGTGGTGGAGGAGGAGGAGGAGGAGGAGGAGAAGCAGGAGGAGGAGGAGTTGGAGGGTCAGTGTAAACTCAAGAGTCATCAACGATGTTGGATTCAACCCTCCCTCCAAGCTCCCTTTTCATAGGCCCCTACAACGGTTCATATTCACTGAGGGAACTGCCTCGTTGGACGACAACTGTTTGAAGACCTGAAGCATGCCAAGCAATTGTTCTCTGGATTCCAACGCCACGGATCAACCTGACCGTTGCGGTCTTGACGATCTTGAATCATGCCAGAACGCCAGTCCTGGGACTTCAACACCGCGAACCAACGTGACTGTTGCACCCGCGTAATCCTGAATCCTTCCAAAACACAAATTCTGGTACGTTGACCATGGAAATCCGTGACACTCTTGTAAATTGATAAGCGAATGTGCGCGGCGCTCAGGCGAGAGCCACATTTTGAAACGGAACCGCCCACAATCCGTGAAGCTCTTGTAACTTTCACACGAATGTGCGCGGCGCTGAGGCGAGAGCCACATTTTGAAAACGACTCGCCCTCAATCCGTGGAGCTTATGCAAATTTTTAAAACGAGTGTGCGCGGCGCTAAGGCGAAAGGCACGTTTTGAACACGACCCGCCCTTCATAGGTGAAGCTGTTACCAATGCTTTAGCGTCAGAGTCATAAATGGTGAGGAACTCTCAGGCGAAACGCCCGGCCCGCCCTAAAAACTGGCCTCGGGGTGCGACAGGGAGAAGTAATTCGCAAGAAAAAGGAATGGAGGAGGAGGAGGCGGAGGAGGAGGAGGAGGAGGAGGCGGAGAAGGAGGAGCAGGAGGAGGAGGAGGAGGTACCAGCTGGTGCTGCCGGAGGTGCTCGGGTTCCTCCTCCCGTTCCTCCTCCTGTGCCTTGCGGGCGGGACGGCGGTCGGGCCATGGCAGCTGCCAGTCCCCGAGGCTCCCGATGAGCAGGTCGCGGCGTCGGCGCTGGACCTGGTGGAGCCGCCGCGGTCGTCGTCATCGTCGTCGACGGCAGCACGAGCTGGTGCCTCCTCCTCCTCCTCCTCCTCCTCCTCCTCCTCCTCCTCCATTCCTTCTCGTTATAGATAATTCCTCTCTGTCGCACCCAGAGGCCATTTTTTGGGGCGGGCCAGGCGTTTCGCTTGAGACTTCCTCACCATTTATGATTCTGAAGCTTAAGAACTTAAAATAGTTTCACAGATGCAGGCCGGGTCGTTTTCAAAATGTGGCTCATGCGTTAGCGACGCGCACATTCGTTTTAACAAGTTGCAAGAATTTTGCGGAATGAGGGTGGGTCGTTTTCAATATGTGTCCCTCGCCTTAGCGCCGCGCACATTCGTTTCACACATCACAAGAGCTTCTCATGGATTGAGGGCGGGTGTTTTCAACATGTGGCTCTCTCCCCAGCGCCACGCTTCTTTGTATATATATGTGTATATATGTACATGTGCGCATATGTATGTATGTATGTATGTATGCATGCATGTATGTATGTATGTATATATGTATGTATGTATGTATGTATGTATGTATATATATATGTATATATGTGTGTATATATAATACTGTGGCTCTCACCTGAGCGTCGCGCACATTCGTTTTTCAACACTTGCAATAGTTTCACGGATTGTGGTCGGGTGGTTTTCAAATGTGGATCTCGCCTTAGCGCCGCGCGCATTCGGTTAAACAAACTGCAAGGGTTTCGCGGATTGAGGGCGGGTCGTTTTCAAAATGTGGCTCTCGCTAAAGCGCCGCGCGTATTCGTTGTAGAAATTCACAGAAGCTTCACGGATTGAGGGCGGTTCCCTTTCAACATGTGTTTCTCGCCTGAGCGCCGTGCACATTCGTTTTCAACATTTGCAAAAGTTTCACGGATTCCCAGGATCAACGTACCAGAATTTGTGTTTTGGAAGGATTCAGGATTATGCAGGCGCAGCAGTTATGTTGATTCGCGGTGTTGAACTCCCAGGAGTGGCGTTCTGGCACGATTCTGGATCGTCAAGACGCAGCAGTCAGGTTGATACGTGGAGTTGAAATCCCGAGAACAATGTTTTGGCACGCTACAGGATCTTCAAACTGTTGTCTTTCAGCGAGGCAGTTCCCTCAATGGAAATAAACCGTCGTAGGGGCCTATGAAGAAGGAGCTTGGAGGGAGGGTGAATTCCAACATCGTTGATGACTCTTGGGTTTCCACTGGTCCTCCTCCTCCTCCTCATCTTCCTCCTCCTCCTCCTCCTCCTCCCAGACTCGAGACGCAGCGGCCAATCTTTCGAAGGCCCGCCCGTGGTCTTGCCAGTTGGCGGGTTCGGCGGATCACGGAGGCCTACGAGGAGCTGCGCGGGCTTTTCGACGGGCGCACCTAGCGCGCGGTGCGCTGCGCCAGCGCGCTCCAGAAAAGGCGCCAGTGGGAGAGCTTTGGTCCGCCACGGTCTTTCGTCGTTCTCGGCTTTTGGAGGTCACTTTCAAGCCCTGGGGCTATCAGGATTTTTTTCTTGGAGGAAGGAGCAGCCAGGATTAAACCCTGGAGGGGTCCAGGGACCACCGGTTTGGAGCAGATCCTCGCCGGCGTTGCCTCTCCACAGAAGTTATCTGTACACCACCAGCACGCCCGGCCAAGGCCATCCGGAGATCCAGGCTGACGCACAGAACTTCCTGGGCTCGGCCAGGGTCGGGCCTGACGAAAGGGTAGGAGGATAGGGGTAGAAAGCCCAAGGTTCGCTAGGGATTGGTTTCCCCCCAAAGCGACGAGAACCCCTTCAAAACCCTCCCGAAGTCCTTCGAAAAGCCTCCTGGAACCCTTCCCGGGGGTTTTCGCAGGGCTTCGGGAGGGTTTCGGTTGTTTAGAAAGGAAACCATATGAACCGGGGGTTACAACAAATCTGCTGCGTTCAGCTGGTTTCGGCCCCGCCGCCAGGCCCATTCCTCGACACATGGGCACCTCCCGGCGCCAGGAGGCGCTAGGAAGACCAGCTACGTGAGCTGATGCTCTAACCTATCCTTTGCTGTTCGTCCCCCCCCGGCAGGAGGGGGTGTACTCCGTGCCAGGACCAGGATGGCCCCTGGCCAGGCATGGTGGCAGTGTTCAGGTGGCTTCTGCGTATGTGGTCGGCGGAGCGCACAATGGGGCCAGGCGATGGGGAAGCTGCTCTCCAGGGGGCTTCCAATGTGGGTCGGCGACTGCAAAGGGGATGGTTACGCCGAGGTTTGGTTTGCGATCGGCACCGCTGGGGCCTGGGGGGTACGGCACTGTCCTCGACGGGCCTCCTCGAGTCGCGGTGGAGAGCTCTGTCGGGGTTCCCGCCTGCCTCTCAAGGGTGCACCCCAGGGTGCAGGCTGCAAACCACACCCTTTGCAAACCGCAGCCTTCGGAGTCGCCGAATGGGGGTGGCCTCCTTGAAGGCCGTGGGCCAGGAGACTCTGAGGAGGCACACGGTCTTGCCAGCGACAACTCCTGATGGTGGGAGCCGAAGAAGATTTGTTTGCATAAGCAGGACCTAGTCCGCACGGACTTCCTGGACGGGCCCTGGACCCCTCTGCGCCAGAGAGGGGGGTCTACTGCCGTTCCATGAAGTCCGCGCGGACCTCCGAAAGTTTCTGTTTAGTCTGATGTTTCTTCTTCTTCTGCCGAGGGGAGGGGAGGATGGGAGCGCAGAGAAAGGTGGGGGCAATCATCGGTGAAAAGTCGGCGGCCAGGGCCGCGGGCCGATTCGTGTTGTCCACTGGCCGCTTGGGCAGTGGACTTGGTAGGGAGTGAATGGCACGGCTCCATGGCCCACGCGCAACGGGACTCGGAAAGCAGGTTACGCTCCCGAAACCCTTGCCTGCCCCATGACCCAGGTTACGGGTCATGGGGCAGGCAAGGGTTTCCGAGATTCCGTCCTAGTAGTAGGCACGTGGGCGTGATGGAAGGCGGACGCTCCGCGCTGACTACGACGTCCGCGACGTGGCTCTTAGTTCCCAGTGAGGAAGCACTGGCTACTCGCTGGAGCTATGCAGCAGCATCGCAAGCAGATCTGATAACTGTCAAACCGTTTTTGCGAGGGGTCCAAAACAGTCCGCCCGTGCGTGACCCTTGCGCGCGCCGCTTGCATCCTTGCGCATCTTAGTTGCCGGAGGAGATCCCGAGCGAATCGCCTGTTCGTACCCTTGCTTGCACTTGGGTGCATATCACTTTCCTTGAAGAGGCCTCTCACGAAGCTCTCAATGCCCCCAATGCTTGCGCCCGAACTTCGAAGCAGTTTGTTTTCGTCGATGGACTACGACGCGAATCGATGGCCTGTACCCTCCGTACCCCTGGGTTACACAATGTGTGATCGCTTTCTTATTCGTTGTTTTGCCGATCGGCGCGGGCCTTCGCCCCCTCCCCTCCCCCCCCCTTGATGGAGTAGATCTTGGCTGTTTTGGGCGCCTGTCTCAAACAGGTGGACGGCTCCCCATGGGATTCCCCAGTGGAGTACCGTTCCAAACAGTCCCTCTAAGCATACGTCCGGAGACAGACCTCCCCCTCCCCCCCCCCTTTTCCGCTCAATGTCGCAACGCCGAATAAGAAAACGCTCACCAAGGCCCCAAGCACAGCCCCAAGTTCGCGGCGTGCCCACCTCTCCGCCCGCGCAGCACCTCCCCCGTCGCGCGGAGCTGGGCCGCGGGCCCCGGACGGGGCCACCGACCGTCGCAGCGCGCGCGCGCTCGTGTACACAAAGCCGCAGCCCAGTGACTGTCATGAAGTGGGCGATGCTTCATGATGGCAGGTGGTTCGTGGCATCATGAGTGGTACGCAGTGATTTGCAGACTGTTATGGCCGACCAGACGTTTCCGACAGTAAGCGCCCGGTGACGAGACATGCGTAGCAAGCGCAGGGTAAGGGCCCACATGGCAGGAGTCATAGGATCCGGGTTCAGTGCCCTAAGCTATTGATGGCCTTCGGCTTTTCGTGGCCAGTTGTCAGTATCAAGCTGCAGCTAGCAAATAGTAGATAGCAACTTGTAGACGTTATCCCGAGTCAAGTGCCATGGGATTCGGCTTCCCTGCGCGAATATCCACACCATCGAACAGGCCTCGCCTCTGGGGAGCGTGCTGGGTTCTCGGGGCCATCTTCGGGGATAAGGTGGGTCATATTCCCAACCATGTTCCAGAGTTCCGTGCGTGGTCCCCTTTGCGAGGCCCTCTCTGGGCCAATCCGGGGTTCTCATAGGGGGCTTCGGAGACCTTCTTGTGACCATCTTGGACCGCTCTGCGGCTGTCCTGGACGCTCTTCAGGCCGAGCGTGCGAAACATGGCAACGCTGCACAAAAAAAAAGCCGCATGGCGTTCTGAATGCTGCTGCCGCTTCACTGGACCGCGGGGCTGCCCACGACGATGCCAGAGACGGCAGGCCCGTGCTGTGTCCGCGCGGCGGCGACCCGAGCGTGGGCGCTCAGGGTGGAACGCCGCCGCTGGCCCGCAGTCGGCCGACAGGGCACGCTCTGCAGTTGTGGGGCAGCCAGGATCGGGTCCAGGCTCGAACGCTTCGCGCCGTGCCAGCAACGAGCGCGCCAGCCGCCACGGCACGAGCCCGCCGTAGCCTTCCAGCGCGACCCGCCGGAGCCTCCTGGGGCCCTCCTGTGGCACGCGGGAGGCCCGGATTCCTCGACCGTGCTCGTGGGCCTTCGGGCGAGTCATCCAGTGAGCCCCAGAAGCCCCCCCCGCGAGCGCGAGGTGTCAGAAGATCCATGGCCCTTGAGAATTTGCTGATCCTCGCATGCTGTGGCCTGTGCGCCTAGCAGGGTCCTACCCGACGCTCGCATGGCGCTGTAGAACATCCTGGCGCGGCGGGTTCGGTTCGGTTCCGACTCCGTGCAGATGCGGCCCAATTCGACGCACGTTCCCATGGCGCTGTAGAACATCCTGGCGCGGCGGGTTCGGTTCGGTTCCGACTCCGTGCAGATGCGGCCCAATTCGACGCACGTTCCCATCCGATTCATTTCATCAATGCGATGCTGACCGCTCCTGCTCGTATTGTCGCGTGTGCGCCGAATGTCACGTTGGATGTCTGGTGCAGGCCGCCGCTGTCGCTGCGTGATAGCCGTTGTCTGCAGGACAGGTTGGTATGGCGTAGAGGTTTGGGCGATGTTCGGTCTCGATGCGAAAGACGGCAGAGACGAGGACACAGTGGACTTCGGAGAGCAAATAGGCATAATGGATCATGCTACAGCAGTATGAGTCAGTTCGCCATGCTGGAGCTGCGAGCCATCTGTCCATGGCGGGCTCACGAGGGGCATGGTGTATTGTACCAGTGTCGCGTCCCTGTCCGATCTCAAGCTTCAGGGGAGCACTCCAACGGGGATGCTCGCATGCCTGCGCGTCCTCTGTGGGCGCTCACCCCTCTGGCACTCCTGCTCGTCCTGTGCCTCGTGCACCGCCCGGCCTGGCCTGGCCGTCTCGCGGACTGGAGCCTAACGCTGGGGGCCTGTGCCGACGTGCGGCCTGCCGGCGCGCCATGCCGCCCCGGGGCGCCGCCCGAAGCGCCCTGGAGCGGTGCCGCGGGCCCGCCCGCGGCGCCCAGCGCCGCGCCCGCCCGCGCACGGGGCGCCTCGCCGCCCGCGCCCGGGCAGCGCGCCGACCCCGCGTGCCGGCGGGTGCTCTCTGGCGAGGCCTTCAGCTTCGGCCCCGGGTTTCAGGACGGTCGGGGCGCGTCGAGACGGTGCGCCTGCACCCGATTTCCCGGCCGGGAGCGGTGCGGGTGCGTCGTGGGTGCGTCCCCCCGAGGACTGGTACATCTACAACAGCTTCTTCGGAGGCCGCGGGCGGGGCGCGGGCTCCGTGCTGGCCCTGGGGCCCGCGGGCCCGAGCACCCTCTTCTTCACGAGGTGCCTCGGCTGGGAGCTCGTGGCCGTCCCGCGCCCCTCGGAGGACGGCAGCGTCAGCGAGGCGATCCTGGGCGCCGCTCGGCGTGCCGGCGTGGCCCGCTTCGAGCTGGCCGTGCTGAACTTCTCGGATGCGGGCTCTGAGCGGCTGCTCTCCGGGTGCCTCAACCTCTCCGGCCTCGGGGCGGACCTCTGGCTCGTCGAGGGCAACCAGCACGGGCAGCGCCCGATGGACCTGCTGTTCCACACCTCCGGCTACGGCGGCGTCATGTAGGGGAACGAACAGTGGCATAAACATGAAAACTCGGAGGTCCGCGCGGATTTCTCGGATCGGCGCTGGACCCCCCTCCCTGGCGCGCGGAGCGCGCCAGGGGCGGCGCCGGAGGCGCCGCCAGGGGTGTCCAGCGCCAATCCGAGAAATCCGCTCGGACCTCCGAGTTTTCATGTTCATGTCACTGTTCGTTCCCGTCTTATGACCTTCCTCGCCCCCGCGCCTGACGGGGCTGGCCCAGGGTCTGGCG